GAGTCGTGACGTTAAACCAATACGACAGAGTGATCTCAACAGCCAACGTATGCAAAACAGAAGGCAGACTATGAGACCTGGACAAAGGCACTGTATTTGAATGTGAAACACAGTGGCGTCGCACGGTGCGTTGGACGACCAAGGTGGACGTGTGTGTGTCTATCGCGCGTCAACGTTCAGTAAAACCAAAAAAACGACGTAAAACACGAGTGACGAAACGGAGTCACTGCACCGGATTGGCTTTAAACCAATACCGGTTATCTTCGCCTGAAGCTGAAACTTCCAGATGAGATCTGTATAGGATCGTGTTGGGTATGTTCTGGACGAATTTCCGACGTTGTTTGGGAAAGGCACCATACAATGGTAATTTTGATAGATTTTGCAGCTTCAGTTTCATATCCGACGAGAAAACAAAAAACCTGATACGGCAGTTGATTGATCGTTTGTTAATTCTGTTAAAGCTGTGATTATGTCCACGCATAGCTTTCAAACATGGATTGAATGGAGTCGATTTGTGAAAATGTCAGACAATAGAATTTGAAGCTTTGGCCATGATTCTGCCCATTTTTAATGTAGTGAGAGATTTCACAGGATAAACGTCACACTACAAACAGTTTTCTTGGAACAACAATCGGTTCACCCAACCGCGTTTCTATCGCAGAATTTCAGGTGGCGATCCAGCACCCTTGACATTTTGACCCCGTAATATATTTTAACAGGGAGATCAAAAGACAAACACTGTGAAAGGAATTTCTTTTGTACACTACCATCGGTTATGTACGTCAAACATTAAAAAAGATAGACAAACGAAATGAATTAAAAATCTGTACGTATTGCAACTCCAGTTATCCCAGTATCGTTTCAAGATGTCCTCGGATCATTTCAAGCTGTTGCATTGACCTCACCGGTGCTGACAAGCCTCCCAGCGATGTCTGAATGAACGCCATGCAGCACCGATTTCTCTACCTCCCGTTGAATTGCGGGGGACGATTGTGAGACGGGCTTCGGTTACATAAGCTTCACTTCTCTTGGCATACATATCGGTTGTTTATCTTGCTAGTACGCGTACGGCTCTGTGTGTGCGCGTTTGTTCCCCTCCGCTGATACCTGTGAATCATGCGCGATCAACGCTTGAGCCATTGCTTACCTCCATCGTGTAATGTTGCGACAGAATTCATCAGCTACACCTTGAGCGGCTGCACTCGGACACCAATATATCATACTCGAGCGATATACACATCAATGTTGACCAGATTCACATCCAGTTAGTTCACTTTCAGGTCATAATCCATCTCTGTGACACCACGGAAGCACCTTCAAGCACTTAACAATTAAAATGACAATTTTGGTCATATTTTCAAAATGGAATGAGATATCTCTATCAAACAAACTGTAATGGAAATAACGTAATGAGGGCTATCGAAAGATGTCATAATTTTCATAACAGTTACGGAATTTTATAAGAAAATGCTAGTTTAAAAATTGGAATGTTTCCAAAATGCAATTTTCTGAGTATGGGCTCTGAATTCGATAATCTTGATGTTACGTTCCCGGATCGCCCAGAGCGAGAGGAAGAACAAAGACCGTCTCACTGTCAGATCCGTGCATGTTCGAATGAATGCGTCAAGCGCTAAGCCAAATGACAAGAGCAACAATTATAACATCATAAAAGGTCAAGGTCATTGATACTATTTTTCACCTGCTCACCATTGGCACCGCTAACACTTTATCGCTGAAATCATATATATATATATATATATATATATATATATATCACTAGGTTTTATTGTGTGTGTGCATATTTGTATATGATTGGTTACAGCCAGGGTGGGCCAAGGATCGAAGTCATAAGGTTTTGGACACACTAGATGGGTTTGTTGTGAGTGACTGATAATGCTCCCAGTATCCTTAATCTTAATTCACTTTATTTGTCTATCTTGTTTAATATTATACGTACGCGACCAAGCAGACTATATGAAAGTAATTCCTCAGTGTTTGTCTTCTAACTTGCCTGTTCGAATTAACTACCACATCGGAATATTTATACACGATTTCTAGTCTTCGTTTTGTCACTTTTCAGAACAGTTCCATTGCATTTGTGTGGACTCATGCAACGGGATTGATTAATCCAAAGGTGTGACTTGTTGCTATGTTCAAGCACATGCCTGAAGTAGCAAACACACCATAATGTGTGTATCATACTACGTGGAGTTACCCACTGTTGTATTTGAGTTCGATAAGATTGTTTTCATGACGGAAAAAGTGAGCGTATTTTAATTGTCTGCTTGGACTTCAAAATTGCTTTCTACATTGTTAATCTCTGTCTACTGTTGAACAGGCTAGAGACGCTAAAAGTATAATCAACTGAGTGACCGAACCTTCCATGTAAGATTTAAATTGGATGGAGAATATTGAAAGGAAGCCCTAGAAGATATATATATATATATAATACAATAAGTAGTATTTGAATGGATGGACAAAATTGGCCTGGAATCACATGACCGGTTTCGTGGTTCTTGGTGCTCGGTAAGCTTGCGTATTTGCCGATTCATCCACATACTTGTACCGAGGTAGTGTATTTTCGTCACAAATATCTGACGGGACTTCCAAACAAATTCACTGTGTATTGTAAATGGTATATATAATATCACTGGTCTTGTCTCAAGCGCCACAAACGTTTGAGAATTGAGACAAATAATATTTATATCTGAATCAGAAGGGGAGAATGACAAGAATAAAAGAGTAAAAGTTTTTCGTGTGTTTTTGTCGCATCCCATTTCGAGATTGTTATGTTTTGTTAAAAATGTGACCACAAGCTAAACATGTCCTATCATTATGTATATACTTTCCCGAAATGTATACAGAATCTGTATTCTACCACTCATGATCCTAATGGGCAAGTTCAATCCCACGCTCTATGGCATCGATTCCTATAACTGAACAGTAAATCCTCCTCCAAAGGACATTCTCCTTCTCCTACTGTTCACCACACTGAGATAAATAATTTGGATTAATAATGTAT